ACATAGGAAATGTTCTTGCTAGTCTGTCATGGGAATATGCAAATAAAATCTATGTGGTGGCCTATCGGGCTAATATTCCTGCCAATTCATTCTCTGGGTGTGATTAAAATGAGCAATAAATTCCCCAGCAGTCTCAGTGGATTGCGGAGCAGGGAGGGGAATGCAGGCTTATCCCAGCATGTCCCCCTTAGCTGTGTATTCATCATGGACCAGCTTCTCATATTTTTGTTTTATCTACCATCATGTACAGAGAGATAGAGATAAAGATATATTTCCAACCTTCTCCTCTGTCTCTTAGTTAAAATGTGGCCATAACTTTAAACTTTCAATTCTCTGTTAGCTGAAATCTGTTCTGCCCTTCAATACTCAGAGTAAATGTCACTTCCTCCAGGAAGCCTTCCCTGACCATCCTATCCCACAGGAATCTTTCTCCCTTTTTGAAACTCACAGTCTACTTTGGACCTCACTAGAATCACTGTTGTAAGAAAAAGAACTTTGGGTTTAGTCATTAGATCCAGGGTCAGTCTTGGCTCTGCTACTCACTTCCTATGTGATCTTGGCAAGTCACTCTCTTTTGGATCAGTTTCCTTATTTACAAAAACAGAGAGTTAGATCAGATGACCCCAACGCACTTTGGGTCCGACTCTCCAAGACCCCTTATGGAGTTTTCCTGGCAAAGATACCATTTCCTCCTCTAGCTCATTTTATAGATGAAGGAACTGAGGCAAAAGGGCTTAAATGACTTGCCCAGGGTCACACAGCTAGTAAGTGTCTGAGGTCACATTTGAACTCAGGAAGATGAGTCTTCCTAGCTCCAGGACTGGCACTGTATCTACTGCGCCACCTAGCTGCCGCCAGTAGTACTAGCTGTACTTGTTAGGCCCCTAGGAGGCACAGAGTGCCAAGAAATGGTATCCTAGCCAAGAAAACCCCACAAGGGGTCATGTAGTCAGACACAACCGAAAAACAACTGAACAACAACTTGGGCATAATGGTATTTACTACCAATTTCACAGGGCTGTTGTGAACAAAGTGCTTTGGAACACTAAGTAATTATTTAAAAATGACCTGAATTATGACCCTTGAGTGTGTTAGGGAACAGGGAAAGATAAGGTGGAAGAGACAGGATGGGGCCGGATAATGGAGTCTCAGAAATCAGGCAGAGAAACTTGGATGTTAGGCATAAATAATGAAAGTGGCTTATCCTTCCACCCAGTGCAAAGTGTTTTCCTCAGAACAACCCTCTAAATGTAGCATGAGGATTATTCTCTGTTTGACAGATGAGGACACTAAAATTCAGAGATAAAATGACCTGCGAGAATTCCAGAGCTAGCACGAGTCCGAGCTAATGCTTGAACCTGGTCTCTGCTCCCAAGGCCAGGATTTTCCTCCTGCTAGATGTTTCTGAGAGAAGGGGGATGTGATTACAGCTGGATTTTAGGAAGCTTACTCTGGCAGTGGCCATCAGAGGGACTAGAATGGGAAAGAGACTAGAGGCACAGAGGCCAGTCAGGAGATTGTTGTGATCCTCAGGAAGGAGGCCATTACGGACTGGCCTAGAATTACAGGACATTAGAACTGGAAGAGACCTTAACGACAATTTAGTCAGTACAACTCCCTCATTTTACAGATGGGGAAAATGAGGCCTGGAGAATACAATGACTTACCCAAAGTCACCCAGAGCGTGAGAGATCTGGGATTAGAACCTGGGTATCCTGTTTTTCTAGTCTGGAGAATTTCCCATTAGAACTTCCCATTAGGCTTTAGGCCTCTGGGAGGAACAGTCAAGTTTAGAACTTAGAGGAAAAACTGATGAGTTGTTAACTGGACTGGATCAGATGTGAGGGATGAGTCCCAAGTTTAAGGAACTGTGAGGATGGTGGGGCCAGTGCGCAGACAAGCAATGGGGAAAGGGTAGTTTAGTTTTGGACTTGGTGAATCAAAGGTCATCCAGAGGAAGACGGGCTAGCAGGGGTCTGAAGATGCATGCCTGGAGATGGGGAGGAGGATAAAAGTGGAAGATACATATGTGAACCCTTCCTGTATGAACTGGCCAACAGCCGTTCTGGAGGCCACGCTGTAGCCATAGGTTAGAGGGGGTTTGAGATTAAGGCTATCTATACAGTTTACTGAGATTTTAGTAAAGCACGTGATAAAGCACCTCATATTATCCAGGTGGAAGAGACTGAGAGATGAGGACTGATAATGGCAGAGTCTGGTATACTCCAAAATGGCTGAATAGCCAGACTCAGAGTAAGTGTTGATGGCTCACAATATCACCTCAGCAAGAGGTCTTATGTGGAGTGCCACAGGAGTCTGTGCTTGGCCCAGTGCTGTCCAGCATTCTTATTGGATAAAGGCAAAGATAGCATGCTCATCAAATATGTAGATAACACTAGGGGATAGCTAACACAGAAAGGATCCAAGAAGATCTTGATGGTCTGGGGTGCTGGGCTAAGTCTAATGAGATGACATTCAATAGTGACAAATGTAAAATTTTATACCTAAGCTGAAATAATCAATTCCATAAGTATAAGATGAGATAGGCATGATTTTACACAGATGTTTGTCTGAGAAAAAGAACTGGGAAATTTAGGGACTCGATGAGTCAGGGGTGATATAGCAGTCAAAACACCTAATGTGATATGGAGCTGCATTAAGAAAATTACGGCTTCCAGCCTAAGGAAGTGGCTGTCCCCTCTGTGCGCTGTCCTGGTCAGATCACATCTGGAGTACTTTCAGTTCTGGGCACTAGAGTTTTTAAAGGACACTGATAAGCGGGGCAGTGTCCAGAGGGAAGCAATCAGACAGCGAAGAGACCCAAATCCATGACACATAAGGATCTGCTGAAGGATTTAGGTATATTTAGTCTGGAGGTAAGAAGAGTCAGAGGAGACAGGACAGCTACTTTCAAATACAGGAAGTGCCACCCCATGGAGGAGAGATCACACTTTCCTGCCTGGTCCAGAATGCAAAACCAGGAGGTGTCACTTAGTAGCTGTGTGACCCTGGGTAAATCATTTCTCCTTTTTGGTCCTCAATTTCCTCATTTGCAAATTTAGAATAATAATACTTGCACTGTCCTGATTCAGGGCTTTTGTTAGAAAGGTGAGGCCAAAGAGAACAAGTCTAATGCCTTTCCCATGGAGACAGAGAGGTAGCACAATAGATAGAGCTTTGGACCTGGAGTCAGGAAGACTCCATAGAGAGGGGCAAAGGCAGGCTCGATGTCAGGAAAAACTTCTTAGTAATCACTGATACCCCGAGGGAAATAGGCTGCCCCAAGAGGAAGAAGGTTCCCCGTGAGGTCCGAGGTTGCCAGAGGCAGAGTGACATTTTCTCAGTGATGTTAACAGAGGGGATTCCTGTCCTTGGTGAATAATAAGAGCTAGCATTTCTATGGTGCCTTTAGGAGTACAAAACTTTTTTTACATATTATTTTATTCTCACAATAGCCCAGTGAGGTAGGTGTTATTATCAACCTCATTTTTTTTTTTTTGCTTAGGCAATGGGGTTAAGTGACTTGCCCAGGGTCACACAGCTAGTAAGTGTTATATGTCTGAGTCTGGATTTGAACTCAGGTCCTCCTGAATCCAGAGCCAGTGCTCTATCCACTGCGCCATGTAGCTGCCCCCTTAACCTCATTTTAAACAAAAGGAATCCAAAGCTGAAGAGATAAAGTGAGTGTTCTACTGTCATGTAGTTGTCTGAGGCAGGATGTGAACCCAGGTCTCCCAAGTATCACTTCCTATCCATACATCACCTCAAGTGGCTCAAATGAATTCAAGTTCCTTGGAATAGGTGCATCAGAACTTCCAGATGGAATTGTGAAGCATTGTCACGGATAGATGAAAGATCTTGGACAATGGAAGAGGGATTACAGGACCTGGCACCACCAGGATGGTGATGGATCACGAGTTCATGTAAACAAGTAGCAGCTGGAAGAAATGCAGATTTTTAATTTGGAGAAAAGAAGACTCAGGGAAAGAGGCAGCTGTGTTTAAAGACCTGAAGGTCTGTCATTTAGAAGGAAGAAAGAAAGGGAAAGAAGCATTTATTATGCTCTTACTATGTGCCAGGCATTGTGCTAAACTCCAAAATACCATCTCATTTGATCCTCACAAGGACCCTAGGATATAGGTGCTATTATTATCCCTAGTTTACAGTTGAGGAAATGAGGCAGATGGTGCTTAAATGACTTGTCCAGGGTCACACAGTTAATAAATATCCGAGGCCAGATTTGAACTCAGGTCTTCCTGACTCCAGGTCCAAAGCTCTATCTATTGTGCTACCTCTCTGTCTCCATGGGAAAGGCATTAGACTTGCTCTCTTTGGCCTTACCTTTCTAACAAAAGCCCTGAATCAGGACAGTGCAAGTATTATTATTCTAAATTTGCAAATGAGGAAAGTGAGGACCGAAAAGGAGAAATGATTTACCCAGGGTCACACAGCTACTAAGTGACAGGAAAAACTTGAAGCCCAGCTCTTCTGGGCTCGGAGGGAGCCTTTCCTTCCATTATACTGTGAGGCCTTCACCAACCAGTACTGATTTCTGCACATAGCTAAACTGGGTGTTGGATGCTAGGGAAAATGCAGAGTAGGAGAGACAGGAGGCTGCCCTAACAGAGCTCTTGGTCTGGCTGGGAAAAAGAAACTCACACACAAAGGCCAAACAGGATAATATGGGAGACAGTCAAGTGTAGAACTGTGCAGCTCCGGATCTAGCAAACAAAAGGGGGACTTCTCAGTGCGGGCTGCCCAGGGAGCAGGGTGAGGTGCTGAGGCAAGTCTGAAGGGTCTGAGCGTTGGGAGGAGGAAATGAAGGGAGAGGGTTTGAAGCTGTGTGATCTGCTCGATCCCACTCCTTAGGTGGAGACAGGAAGGAAAGGCCCTTTTCAGCCAAGGTCAAGCAGCCTCTGGCTCTGAGGCTGAGCTCTCATTGTACCACATTCTATACTCACAAGAGGCTTCCCACTGTCCTCTCCCTAAAAATGGCTCACCTTGGTCTCTGAGGCCTTCAGGAGCTTCATGACCTCTCCATCCCGGGCGTAGTCCATTGGTGTGTGACCCATTTCATTACACTGCAGGGGGCTGGCTCCTGGAGAAAATGTAAGGGTCTGAGATCAGACAGACGTAATGATTATTGGGGTCATGTGGGCACTAGGAGGTCTCAGAAGGTTACAGGCCCTTACTGGGGATGAGAAGGATTGTAGTGGTTTCAATATATCAAGGATCCCCTCAGAAGAGAGCAGGGTGGGGGGAGTTCTTAGTTATTATGGCCCAACTCCTGGGGAGTGTATGCACTGTGTGTGTCTGTGCAAATATGTGTGTAAACAAGTACACAAACCATTCATGAACCTCTACATAAAACAAAAGTTAACATCTGCTAATATTGCACATGAGTTTAAACTCCAAACCAGGGTCATCTCTGATTTATATAGTACTGTATGGTAATCCACTTAGCTGCCCTATGACCTCATTTTACAGGTGAAGAAACTGAGTCATGGAGAAGTAAAGCTGACTCCATATAATGCCCAAACTCTGGATCATCACCCCCTCTCACTGGGCATAGTATTGTATATGTGCCAGGACCCGAATATGAGTTGTTCAATTGCATTGGCTGGCCAGGGGCAGAGCTGTCCCCCAGCTCTAGCAATCTTTCTCCTTTCCCACATTTTTTCCTCCTATGTGCACACGTGCACATATACGCAAACATGGAGAGCTATAGAGTTTTTCTTCCTAAGGACCATTCACATCTGCCAAAGGACGGGGCGTAAGGGTCCTGCTCTGCCTACTCCTTTCTGTTCTTTAGGTCTCATCTCTTGCCTTTTCTGCTAACGTATCCTGATATGCAGGAGCCTGGGGGTGTCAGCAGCACCTTAGCTGTAAAGGCTAAGGTCTAGGAACTCAAGTGCCCAAAGGATGTGAAGACTAAAGCCCTGTTGCCCAGGAAGCTCTCAGGGAGCCAGGGGGCATCCAGTCTCTGGGAATGAGTGAGACAGGAGTCAGGGGAGCCTTGAGGTGGGATGTTTCCCTTGAGCCCATCAATAGATCTATGACAAATGAATACTGAGTGCAAGGCCCTGTGCCTGGTTATGTTGTGGGGAAGATAAAGATGGGTCCCCGTTACAGGGGAGGGGTTTGACTAGATCACCTCTATGCACCTACCCAGATCTAGAATGTTATGATAATAGAGCAATACAAAATGGAGGAGGAAAAAAACATGTGGGTTCAGGGTGGCTGGGGAAGGCTTCGTGGAAGAAGTAGGACTTGATTGGCACCTGGCAGGATGAGGTGGACTTAGACCCGTAGTGAGGGTAAACAAGGGCATCCTAGGCAGGGAGACCTCGGGGTTCTTATAAGGAGATATGGGCATCACAGCCTAAGAAGCTGGGTTGAGGACATATTATGGAAGGCCTTGAATGACAGACTAAGGAACTTCTAGGCCATCCATTTGAAAATCATAAATTACCTTGTGAAATTTGTGATAACCATTTGATCTGACAGCATAATATGAAAGAACGGTTCACATTTATAAAGGGAATTACACCTGTTGTGATGACTGTTACCCCCATTTTACAGAAGACAAAATTAAGGACAAGGGAGGGTAAGTAAGTTGGCCAGGCTTTGCAGACCCTGGTTTCTTGCCCAGTGCTCTTTCTAATATAGCATGCTCCTCTCTAACAGAGTTCAAACCCTGAGGGCAGTGACTGGACCTTGTTCATCTCTATCACTGCCATGGCGCTGTTAAACACAGCTCTGAACACAGAAGTCACTTAGTGAATATTTACTGATTTGATGAGAAACAAACAAAAAAAAAACCCAGGCCACAAAATGGGGAACTTTTAATGGGGCCCAAAGATGAAATCTCCTTGGACCCTGTGGCTGAAATGGCTATCAAAGAGTCATTAGGCATTGACTTCCCATCTCACCTTCAGTCAGCCAACAGTGGCTTCCACTTACTTTTCTAGCACTTTTCCCTTTGCATTTGACATTCCAGAAAACCTGAATTCCTCTCTCAATCCCCTTTCTTCCTCACTTCATCTGAATTCTAAGCTCAACTCTAATACTGCATCACGCAAGAGAAGCCTCCACCTTGCACCTTCAGTCTTTCCCCTCAGCCCTTACTTGATCCTTTGTATGCATCTCTGATGGACTGATCATGCATTACTAGCAATACAACTATAGGTGTTCTTGTCATAAATTGCTATGAGATTCTAAGCATCATGAGGGCAAGCCTCCCATCTTCTCTAAACTGTATTGCCCCCAGTGCCGAACACAGGGCTTTTTGTACACAGCAGGTGCTAATTAAGAAGGTACTGAATTGAAGATAAGCAGATGAGATGGCCAAGGAAGTGAGTATACAGGGAAAGAGCAGAGGGCTAAAGACAGGGGCTATGGTGGAAAGATACTGGATTTGGAGTAAAAAGGACCTGGGTTTGAATTCTAGCCTTGCTTTTTAATATCTTTACAATCTTGAGCAAGTTACTTCTCTTTATGGACAAGGGCTTTCTCTTCAGTAATATGAAAGGGTTACACTAGATCACTTTTAAGATCTCTTTTGACCCCTTGATAACAACAGGAGGAGACCCAAAACGTTTTACCATCCTGGAAACCATGAGAATAGCGCTTCAAGAAGCATCGCCTGGGATGGAGGAAGAGGTAGAGAGGAAAGAACCGGTAAAGGGGAATAGAAGTCAACGGTGGGGCATCTGTAGGAAGAGGATTGAGAAAAGGCCACTGAACGTGGCTAGAGTGTAGTCAGCTGTGACCTCTGAGGGCTACAGAAGCAAGAATGCAAAAGGCTAAAGTAGGAGTGAAAGAAAGAGGACAAGAGATAGAAAGGGCATTAGAGCCTCTCAGCAGTGCATACATAGAGGCAGAAGAGAAGAAATGCTGGTGCAGAGTGAGAAACTAAAGATTTTGGAGAGGGAGGGGTGAGGAATTCAAGATCCTGGAAGAGGAAGGAAGAAAATCTAGGTCTTAAAGAATAGGACAGATGAGGGCTTGATGACTATTACAAATCTCTAAGTAGCAGTCAATGAATCAATGAGCATTTATTAAGTTCCTACTGAGCATCAGGCACTATGCTAAGCATGGAGGATACAAAGAAAAGCACAGTACATGGGGAGTGAGGGAGTAAGATGTAAGACTAGAAAGAGAGAAGGGGTCTAGGTTGTTAAAAGTTTGGAATGTCAGAGGATTTAAAATTGATCCTGGAGGTGAAAGGGAGCCACTTAGTTTTACTAAGCAGAGTAGAAGGACGTGGTCAGATCTGCACTTTAGTAAGATTAATTTGAAAGCTGGGTGGAGGATGGACTGGAGCAGGGAGAGACCAAGCAGGAGGCCACTGCAATTGTCTAGGCGTGAGGGTACAAAGGCCGGCACCAGCGTGGTGGCTTTGTCAGAGAAGAGGAGGCAGGCAGAAATAACAGGACCTGACCGCTGACTGGACATGAGTGATGAGAGTGAGGAGTGAATGATGACCTTTGTGATGGGAGCCTAGGTGACTGGGAGGATGTTGGTACCCTTGAAGGTTTGGAATGGAAGAACATTTAGTGGGAAAGATAATGAGGTCAGTTTGGACATGTTGGGTTTAAGATGTCTATAGAATATCTAGTCCATGATGCCCACTAGGCAGTTAGAGACGTGAGGTTAGGGCTAGATAAATAGATCTATGAAATCACGAGGAAGTGGAGGCACTTACTGGGCCTTCTCAAGTTTAGTCATAAGAAGGAGGAGAGACATAGGAAGATAGCTAGTGGGGATGGACAGATCAAATGAAGAGGGTTTTTTGAGGATGGGTAGCCATGGGTATATTTATGTGCAGTAGGGAAGAAGTCAGTAGATAAGGAGAGACTGAAGGAGTGCAGGAATTGGAGTTGAGGGATCTTGATTCAACTTCCATTTCTGATATCTATTCTTACTGTGATCTTCAGAAAAGTGATATTGCTTCTCTGGGTTTCAGTTTTCTCAACTGTAAAACTACCAGGTTGGACTAGAAGGCTTCTGAAGTCTCTTCTCTATCTAAGTCTATAATCCTTTTGTTCTAAAAACTTCTATTTCCTTAGCACTCTAAAGTTTACAAAGTGCTTTGCTCACAACCCTCTAAAGTCTGTAGGTATTCCAAGTATTATTTTCCCCATCCTATAGATAAAGAAACCGAGGCTTAGTAAAATTATGTGACTTGATCCAGGTCACACAGAGTACGTAAATGACAGAGCCAGGATTTTAACCTAGGCCTCCTGACACCAAGTCCACTCAATCAACAAACATTTATCAAGTGCTCACTATGTGCCAGGTTCGGTGCTAAGGATATAAACAAAAACAAAAACAGTCCCTACCCTCAAGGATCTGCCATTGTAATGGGGGAGACAACACTTTTAAATTAGAACATACAAAACAAACCCATAATTGGAAGACAACCTGAGGGTATGGGGCCTAGCAGCTGGGGAGATCAGGAAAGGCCTCCTAAAGAAGGCCTGAGCTGGCCCTTAAAGGAAGCCAGCAATTCTAAGAGCTGGAGGCTGGTTGGGAAACAACCAGCTCAAAGCAAAGGCTTGGAGGTGGAAGACGAAGTGTCAAGTGTGAAGAACTGCACGTCAGCCAGTACGGCTGGATCACAGATTCTTTGGAGGGCTAGAGACCGTGAGAAGCCTACAAAGGCGAGAAAAGGTGCCAGGCAAGGAAGAACTTTAGATGCCAAAGGATTTTATATTTGATCCTGGAGGTAATGGGAGCCCACTGGAGTTTACTGAACAGGAAAATGACATGGCTTCCAGATGTAGGCTTTGGGGAAAAAAAATCCCTTTGGCAGCTGTGAAGAGATTAGATTAGATTTAGATTAGAGCAGGGAGAGAGAGAGCTGGGGGAAAGGAGAACAAATGAAAGGTTACTTCAATAGCCCAGGAGAGAAGTAATGAAGGCCTGAACTCTTGGGTGGTGGTTGTATGATTGGAGAGGAAACATGCTGTAGAGAAAGAAATGACACGATTTGACTGAATATGAAGGGTGATGGAGAGCTGAAGGAGTAAAGAGCTGAAAACGAAGCTGGAGTTTCAAGTCTGGATGACTCCAAGGACTGCTGGTGCCCTCAAC